TAGGGGACTTTAGCACGCCCGTTTTTGAGACGCGGACGGTAGCCGGAAGTGAGCTACTTTCACTTTTAACTTGTCCTCACACAGCCATATTCACATTGCTAAGTATCTTTTCTTCATTAGAGATGAGTAGTATAAAAAATCTGGGAGACAATACTGTCCTAGCATGCGAAATCTTCTCTTCCGGTTGCCGTCCGCGTCTCAAAAACGCGCGTGCTAAAGCTCCCTGTTGTGTTGGGGGTGGGGAGGGAGAGGTGAACAGAAAGACCATATCTTGGACAGAAGTGCACTTGAAAGCGTCCCAAGACTTAAGCGGGATTTTAGACCAAAGTAATCACATCTGGCCAGTCACTCCAAGCGCAGATAACCAAATGAGGTAACTAAGGCAAGCTACGCGTGTAAAGGAAGTTAAACCTTGGTTCTGACTGTCGATTTTAATGTTGCTCTTTCAATGCTGCTCTTCCCATACAGAAAGCTGTCTCGAGAAACGTCCGACAAAAGCGAACGCGACGGCGTTTGAAGAAATTTATGGGTATTAGTGTTGAACCGTTGCTTTATTGAAGCTCAAGTTGTTTTAGCGTCGTTGAACGAAACAGCACCAACACGTATATTCATACTTCTCTTCCTTCTTGCTTAAATACCGCGAGCCTCAGTCAAGCAACGCGAAATGTTACTACCCGTAATACCTTTCAGCATTACCTCGAACGCTTTTAGGCGTTTTGTGGGACAACCTTGGTTGAAACTGCCATATTTACCAAGCTAAAAATGCCCTATCTCATTTGTTATCATTGTGAATTTGCCCGCACTCGACGACATTCCACTACTAGCAGCATGCAGGACGTTTTTCAATTCTCACTCTGGTAAGTCTGACTTCTAGCTGAAGAATTCATATTTCTTTTTCAGATTATGCCCTAGCGACTCTTACGCATTCCTCAATTCTGATTTTCCAGTTAGGGACTGTGCAATAATTACCTGGAGGAGGGGGTTGGAAAATTAGAGAGGGGGGCATAGGAGAAAATGACAACAAGAGCGGGGGGGTTGAATGTAAAATTTAATATGTGTGGGAATGCCTTGTTTGAAAAGCTTCAGAAAGTAAGAGAAGACCATGTTCGTCAGGGGAAGTACTTCCTTGAGTCGCTTTAGTTTTCCTTCACTCCAACATGTGATGGATGCCTTAATGAAGGTTGCACAAGAGGTGTTCCTGTCCAACGTTCTCCAGTTCCAACCCTAGATGCTACTTCGCCTGGAAAGTATTTACCATTCACTACGGCAACGTCCACTGGAGACCAGATCGACAATTTTCTCCCAGGTGTCCAGATAAAGAGATTGTTCAACTAGGGAAAATTGCCCTCTTCTGAAGAAAGGTCTTTGCAAGAGGTATGTTCCCAGTACAACGCGGACGAGACTGCATGTAAAAGTTATGTGCAGCACCTTGAGTTCCTCGATGCAAAAGCCAAAAAATAGAGTAAGAGAACGGAACACTCTTCCGCTTATTTCTTGGACAATTGAAAAAGATGTAAAAGCGCCTACCTAATGTATCTAAAGCAAAAAGGTCTTAAGATAAGTGGAAGCAAGGCTGAGTTGATTGATCGAGTTAACGTTCTCACCCACGCACGCGGGAACCTCAGTGCCATTCCATTCTAATCTGTTTATTTTGCCCTTTTACTTAATGTACAGTATATATAAATGTTTTAGTGTGAGGCGAGGTGACCTAGAAACCATCAGGCTTTTAGCTGAGGCCACCTCGTACGTAACAATACGGTTACATCAATATTTCAACAGTGTGCGGCTTTGCCAGTTCAGTAATTATTGTAATAAAAACTCCGGCAGTTTTTTCTTAAAATTGGGAAAACTTGACAATGAAATGATTGTAACAGGAAGGGAATTCCAGATCTTTGGACCTTGGTAAAGAATTATGAATTTTTTTAGATTAGTCCGGCAATGATGCACGCGATAGTTATTGGCTGTTCTGGTGCTATAGCCATGAATTTGACTGTTTGTGAAAAAACAAGTTTTAACACAATGGAGGAAACAGGTTGTTATGATAATAGTACATAAATTTAGCTATTTGAAACGTGTTGATTTGATAAATGTCTGAAATTCCTAATTTGGAGAATAAAGGAACAGAATGTGCTCTATAATCTGAATTGGTAATAGCTCGCACAGCCCGTTTTTGCAGACAATAAATTCTATTACGTATGTAGACGACCATGTAGAGTTACAATAGATGATATAAGGATAAATTAGCGAGTAGTACAAGGTGAATTTAGTTTTTGAGGATAGATAGAAGCGGGACCTGAGATGCTGTAGAAGATGACAAATCTCCCAATTCATGCGAAGACGACACAAGCTCAAAGTCCAGTGATTCTGATGTGATGACTCTTCAAATGACTCTTCGACATGCGTCGAAGAGTCATTTGAAGTAATGTTTGTACCGGAGGAAGAACTCCAACAAGCAAACTAGGTATGACGGAATCAATAGGAGACGTTTTTCAGGGAGGGGGGGAGGTTAGCCTTAATATTATCATTATGTGAGGGGGGGTTGAAATTAATTTTTGCTTAATGAGAGGGGGGTATGACTTAGTTTTGGGGCATATTTCCCCATTTCCCACCCCCGCTCCAAGTAATTATTGCACAGTCCCTTAAAATGATCAGGCGAAATTAATTTCCTCTCTTCTTTTTCCTATTTGCATTACATGTCGCCTCCCGCAAATGCAGGTTTACGACTGGTACAAATCTTTTACATGAGTTGATCTGCATGAAAATGAGATTGTGACTCAAAAGGAAAAGGTCCCGTCTCGATGGGCATGTGTCCTACCCACTCTCTTGCGTTTGAGCTCGTTGAATTTTTCCCCTCCCCACACCGCACCGTTTTCATTTTGCTGGTACATATTTTTTTCAAACTTCCTCCCTCCAACCTTTTCTCCTCGCCATCCGTCCCAGTCAGAAGTTCAGCTTTCCCAGTTTGCAATACCAGCACTGTCAGTATCCTAGGCTACTGACCATGAGTCTGGTTTGCAGAAGTCATTATCAGTGTGGGATCAGCCATTCCCACCCCTCCCCCATTCCTCTTTTCCCTTCGTGTCACGCAATCTCGCAATCACACGCCAAAGCAACAGGTACTGCACAGAATCCTGGGAAGAGGGGGGGAAATCGTCTTACTAGCGGACACGTACTCAATGCGATACTGTGGTCGATAATATGCAGAATGCTAGTAAATTAACCATCGACTAGTTAGCATCTGCATTGCATTGCCAGGTCAGTTTAGTAATTGACTTTCAGTTAGTAGAATTAGCTGGGTTTGTTTTTTCTTACGTTTCTCCCGGGAATGCGGTTGCCAGCAAGTTGCATCTTCCTCAGCATACTTCTACAATGGCTTATTTTGCTGCCGATGTCCCGTGCGATGTTGAATGGTTTCACAACTGTAGTGGAAGCAGGGAAAGTGAACTGTTTTTACGAGAATATCAGTGATAACAAAACTTTGGAAATAGAATATCAGGTAAGACAAGATTGTGTTTTCAGTGATTTTAATAGAGATTCACGCTCTTCATCTTACATACTCATACTTACCACTCGGCTTTATTTACTTTCGGTCTGCTGTACAAACCAACGACGTTTGTGGAGAATTGTACCGTTGAATGAGACAGTAAGACTACAGATTAACACGTATAACTGTTTATTTCCATGTTATTCGCTTGCACCTGAAGTTAGCTTCATTTTAGCGACCTGCGTTGCATTAATACTTACATGTAGTTGCTAAATCGAATTAAAGACTGCCATACTGAAGTTTTGAACTGAGACAGAACTTGTGGTTGCACTGCCAAGCAACTGATGGTTTACAGAAAAATTCTTTTGTCTTACGTTATTATAATTTCAATTGAAAAAATAGTATGTGTTTTCCTATAGTTTTAATGCTAATTGAACCTTTAACTTTTACAATTTTTTGTATGCAAGGTTGATATGTGGATGTGCTTTTAATTGACACTGAAATTAGGTATTAAATTATTAATGCAAGCGTCTGGCTTGTAATCTAAATTTCCCTCCTCCCATACAAAATGTCAGGCATTTTCACACTTTGGCATCCCAGAAGTAATCATTGAAAAGTGCTTTAGGCCACCGCTATTGTGCACTGGAGAATGAAAGTGACAGAAGGGAACTGAAAGTGACAGAAGGGAACAGCTGTTTAAAGAAATTCACATTTATTTTTTCTGTGCATCCTCAATGGGGACACAACTCATGTCACTATGTCATGCAGTGTCATGCATCAAGCATTCATAACAAGGAAGTAATATAAACCAGCTAGTCTTGGCTAGTTTGCTAGCTGAGACCTTTGCTTTATTTTGAATAGGCATTTTTCCCCAACAGGTTAAAAAAAAATTACAAAATGGTCAGTATGGGAATTTTTTCATCCACACAGCATCAAATCCTGCCATCTTGCGGCTGGCAAGCCTGTACAAATATGACCATTTAACTGTTGAATTAATTGGAAGTGGGGGATGGCACATGGTGAGAATGTTTGCCTTCCTGGCACCATAATTGAGTTGAATCTACTACTGATTTTTGTCCTTGCTCGAAGGGTGTTTCTCCAGGTCCTCTGGTTTTCCTCTCTCCATAAAAACCAACACTTACAAATTCCAATGTGTAGTTCCAGAAAATGTTCATACCCACCCTCCTGTAAGGGACTTTTTCTAAGAGCACCCCACCCCTCTGGAAACAGCACAGATGCATGATAAACTGACGTCAATTTGTTTTTTACAATAACAATATTGTATAAATTATAAACTCATGTCAGTCTGTCAGCATATTGACAATAAAAATTAGCTAATGAGCGTGCAGGAATTTCTACAGTTATTATAAAAATGCTTCGTAAGTAAACAAACATTGCAGGCATATTCAGAAAAGTTTTATTTTCCAGAAATATTAGGGTTACCGTCAGTGGTCTTTCCGACATCTGAAGTTTTGTCTTGTGCTTCTTTTGAAGGGTCGCTGCTTTCAGGAGTTTATTAATTTCAGAATTTTATAGTAACTCTTTTTCGTAAAAAATTAAAGTCAAACTGCTTTTCTATAAAACACCTGTCAGAAAAGATGGTATGATTTACTGCTTGAGGTTCCATGTGCAATTTAAATTAAATTTAAATAAACAAGAAGATCTGTAAGATCTTATAACTGTGCTTTTAAAATGTAACTGTTTTCTTAGCTCTACAGTCGCAATGCAGTGCACATTCCAAAGTAGTCCTTGATGATTCATTTATTACAGTAGACATCACATCACTTGATCAACACAAACTGTATTACTGCACCATCAGTTGTAGCCTGCGAACGCAGATGTATTTCCGGCCATCACTTGGTTCAGCTGAACCAAGTGACAGCCGGAAATACGTCTGCATTTGCAGGCTACATCAGTCATAGCCGTTGTGAAATCTCCGATGATGTAATGGTCTTAATCTGGAACTTTCTTTGGGATATATATGGGCATGATTGATACAAACAATTCAATAATAACACTATTAACAACAGCTTTCTTTCTTAAAAGTCACAATTAAATTTAATTGGTTTTTCCCATGAGTAAAGGACTAGCAAAGTAGTCACACAAGTCGCATAATTCAAGAATTACATTATCCACAGCTATCTTTAGTACGGTGGTTATTTCTCTACCAATGACGTAATCCTTGCACGTTCTGGCACATTCTTTGCTTGGCTTGCAAATATTCAATTTTCCTTCTGATCTCTGAACTCGCTTCAATAAAACAGCATGGCAATTCACTCCTCTTGTCTAGAAATATGAAAAATACTCGGAAAACTAAAAGGACTGTCGCTCGTGGCGAAATAAACTTGCAAAGTAAACAAGATCTTTTTTGTCACATAGCGAAAGTGAAAGATGCAACGTCAGCACATTCCATGGCTGATGTAATACCTTTTTTAGCGTATTTATTATTCCCTTTGAATCCGACGCTTTGATAAAACCAAAAGAAAATATACTTTACACACAATAAAGAAAACAATATTGTAACATTGTCCGTGTATTAATGTTTCAACAGCTTTTGGCGAATAAACATCATAGGTTGGGTGATTCAAAATTTGGCTGAGAGGAAGTTTGTGTCTGATCACCGACAAAACTGAAAAAAAAATAACAAACCCCGTGTAGAACGTGAACCACACTCGGCCCATGGCTATGCGGTTAATAAATTTACAATTTGCATTACAATGGTCTTGTAACTTTGTGATAGACACTATCACAGAATATAGAAGTTTTTAACAATTCTGTAAAGAACTGTTCTTGCCCCTTGCTTGTAATATTGATTGCAAATTTGCAGACTATCTGCTATTAATACTAATATTCAGCACGAAGATTTTACATCACACAAAAAAAGAAGTGATTCACTCCTAGTTTTAACATGTACTAACACACAATTTTTTTTTATAATTAAGTGCTGACCAATCATCATTATTCCTATTCTCGTGGAGAAGCTTTGACAGTATGTGTATTCAATTACAATAGAACTGCTTAAATTTAAATATAATGTAAATATAATTTAGTGAAATACTTGTTTGTCAAGGGATTTAAAACTTCACTAAAATTCAATAAACTAAAAGAAAGTCCTTTTTTCCAATGAGCAACAGATTAGGGAAACAGAACAAATAGTTTTATCTCCTTCTTCAGATCAATGGCAATTTCCTGTTAAAAGATAAAACTAACATTCAATTCATAGTTTGCTCACAGAGCCTCTGATTTCTCAAGACTTTGTTATATTTATTCTTGCATTTTGACTGATAGATTCTATGTTGCAGTGCGTCTCTGCAGTAACTGATCACAGAAGACATGGTACTAAGGAAATCTAAAGCTTGGTTATCACCTCGTGTGCCACTTTTTTTGTTCTTACTACATTTTGATGTCGTCTGAGATTCATTGCTGTTCAAACAGGTGCATGGCAGCATGGAATCTATTTCGATTGTTAATTTTGTACCTCTTTTATCTAACAGGTGATTGAAGGAGGTGGAGAAATGGACATTACCTTTCAAGTAGTAGCTCCTAGTAAAGCACTTTTGGTGGATGACGAAAAGAAAACAGATGAAGTTCATTCTATCCAGGCAGCTGAGGATGGGATTTACACATTCTGTTTTGACAATTCATTTAGTATGTTGGCAGAGAAGATAGTCTATGTAGACCTAGGACTTGAAAGTGACGAGGTGGATAGCTGGCTGTCGTCACTGCAGGGAGATACAGACACAGAAATCCAGGAAATACAAATAGACAGCATTAGGGTAAGAACATCATGAATATGATGTATATTTGTATCAAAGAATTAAAACCAATTTTAGAGGTGTCAGAATTGTAGCTTGTATCATGTGTCAAGTGTCATTCTGTGAATTAAACAACCTCTTTTCAGTGTTAAGTATTTTGAGGGAGAGGACGCACTTTCAGAACACCTACTTCAACCAAGGCCAGTTGAGCAAAAGCTTTGCAAATTAGCCACAGATATTTTAAAAGTTTTGAAATAGATGCTAATCAAAATGACCACAAATCTGCGGCCTTTGTAATGTAGAGATTAATTACATGGATAATTTGTTGAAAAATTATAATTTGTTTTTTTTTGTGGGAAATGTTTTTGGGCGGCTGTGGTTAGAGCATTCGTACTGTAAACTTTTTACTGGTTTTTTTTATTTTTTGTTTTGCCGCTCCTGTGAATATTCATTTTTATGTTTTCCTTGGCAGACAACACTTGAGAATATAAGACTTCAGCTGGAAAAAGCCCAGAATTACCAGACGTATTTGACCAAGAAGAATTTTAAAAGCCATTTCATTGTCACCAGGAGTGGAAGCAGAGTATTTTGGTGGTCGCTTATACAAAGTATCGCCCTCATTGGAGTGGCGATTTGCCAAGTACTTATTGTGAAGAATTTCTTTGGCACTAACAGCACTGGACAAAAGATTTGAATAGTTTTATGCTGAAGTTTTAAATCAAGTTTATTTTAATGTTGTTTTTCAGGCAATTCATTCTTGCTTAAATTTTTTCTCTGTCTTGTCAGTTTAGACAGGAGTTCAATTTTAGCTGAAGTTTTCAAAATATAATATTCTTCCCCGAGCTATATTCTCCTGAAGCTAAGTTGAAGAACTCAGATATTTTTTCTGAAGAAACTTGTGTCACTGACAAAATAATTAAATTAATTATAAGCTTTTTTCAGGATTGAAGTAGTTGCCAAATTGATTTATTTTTCAAGCCATTCTTTATGTGATTGATTGTGGCAAATTCAAAGTTATAATTTAGTAGCAATAATTGAAATTATAACTCTCAATCTAGTCACGGGGTTTGTTTTTTTGTTTGTTTGCTTGTTTGTTTGTTATGTCAAGGCTAGAAACGAAATAATCAGAGTAAAGAAGGTTAAGTGAGGACAAGATAGTTATTTTGAGATATGTTTTGTGATGCTCAAATTTAAGTAAGGAACATGGCAGAGTGCACTTTGGTTTGTCAGTTCTTTGATTTTCTGAGGTAAGAAAAAGACAGAAAGGAAACGTTGGCAAATGGCAACAGAATGTAACTATTTCATAACATTAATAATGGAAAAAGTTCTTATTCTCAAACTGGCTGAGCCTAAATGGGTTTTTCATAACTGAGCTAGTACAATTTTTGCCAGTAGAGGAAAATTAAAGGGCTTGAAAAGGAACTGAAACTATCCGTGCAAGATAAAGAAAACACTTCCATTCTTTCAGAGGGTTTGATAATCACAGTTTCTAGAACAGACCCTATACAGTTACATGTATGAGCAAGGTTATCCAAAAAAAAGGTGGCTGTCGGCAAAAATCACCTGTATGTACTTCATGATGTTGGCCAGCTACACTGCTGTGCTCTTTTTTTGATTGTGGAGAAAAAGATGGCAAAATCAGCCACTACTACAATAGTAAAGCTGCTTACTTCAAAACATTGTCACAACCATGAATAGGTGACTTTATCATGACATAATATCCTCACTGCTGCAAATTCACAGTCTAGATTTGCACAACTGCTTGCAGCTGACCTTGAAGCTCAGTTGATTGAGACAACAGCGACCTGTTTTCCTTTGTCAAGGAAAACGTTCCTGGGAATGTCATAGGCATTAGTGCTTTCTAGCACCTACAAAATTGCTATTCCACATTGTATGTGGGTGCTACGCAGCTGGGCATGCTCACTTTGTATCGCCCTCTGCAGTGTGTTGGTTTGCATCTGAAGGACAGTTGACCCTTGACAAGCATTGAAATTTTACAGCATGTTTTGACTGCTACTGATTAGAGCTTTTAAAAAAGGTTAGTATAGGTAATCATACGGTTTCGAGTTCAATTTGGAATTAATTTGCACGAGTGAGTTTTTCAAAAAGCTGAAATTGCACGAGCCGCTTCGGCGAGNTTCGCGCGGAGGAAGTGCCGGAAGATCTTTCTTGGAGCCATTTTTTCTTATTTGAGAAAACTTTTTTCAAAGTTTCAACACAAAATTTTTGGTCATCATTTCACCTGATATCATTTTCTTAGAAAAATTCCTATTATCTTTCAGTCAATCATAATCCAGAATTTTGATGTGTAATTTGCACTGGTGTTACACTTTTTGCACTGATGTTACACTTTTTGCATTGGTGTTACACTTCAACTGCACTGCTCTTAGCCAATCAGAATCGAGTAATTTTTTCATGTGTATTATTAATTTGCTAATTATCACTCTCTCCCTCCTGCATGATGGACTCCAGATCAAGTGGGCCAGATTCAAACCTTGGTCGGGGAAACTCTGTGTACTTGGACAAGACTTTACTTCCTCAGTGTGTGTCTCCATTGGTAAATGGTTACTGGCAAATTTGATGCTTGGTGTAACCCTGCAATAGACTACCATCCCATACAGAGGGGAATAGAAATACAGTGGAAGCCTGATTATTCAAACCTCCAAGGAAAATGAAAATTGTTTTCAAAAATTGGGTAGTTTGAGAATTCGGGAATAAAAATTACAGTGTCCAACTGAAGGGAAGGGTTACAGTTATGTGGAGGTTCAAAAAATTGCAGTGGGGTTTAAAAATGCAGGAGGTGGGGGGCAGGTAGCCTGCAAAAGCAGACGTATTTCCGGCTGTTGCTTATCTCCGGTGGAGACAAGCGACAGCCAGAAATGCGTCTGCGCTCGCAGGGTAGGGGACTGGGAGCTGCAATGCCCCACCATCCCATATGGGTGGTCAGGAAGCAATGCTCGAGTTGCTTTAGGCTGCTTAAATCTGTTGGAAAAGACAGACTTACACAAAATATGACGCGACAGGTTGATCATTGATGTCTTCACAGGTTGCCTCTGTTGTCCGTTTTAAAGTGGTATCTGTTAAGAATCAAATACAGAAGTGTAGCAGCTCTCGTTAGCTTGTAATTCTCTTCATTGTTAGCAGCTGTTATGTTTTAGGGCTAGGGGCATTGTTTCTGTTGTTTGTTCTATTGTACACTCAAAGGGTAGCAAGCCATTCATATGAGACCTTACGACAGCTGCCACATCACCCATCAAATAAAGCTTGCGCCACATCCAGATTGCTCTTCTGGGTTTAATTCAGTTTTTCTGACAATCATCCCCTACCTCTTGTCTCCAGGCGACAAGAAAAACATCGATTTCAACATGGCGATGAAAATCGTCACAGTAAATTTCCCATCTCTCTTTGCTTTCTTGTTTGCTTTTCTTCTAGGCTAACTTGAGAATGGGTAAAAGCCGATCGTGTACGATGCAAGGTCATGCATGCCCTGAAGCAGGCATGCCGCTCCTAGCTAGAACTGGCACTGAAGGTAGGACATGCAGTTCGTGCAGGACATGCGGTTCATGTAGAGTGAAAATAAAGTTTTCTTGGTTTTTGCATAGTTAGTAGG